GTCTCCTAAGCTGGCAAAACCGCGTGGGATATTATTGGGATTACGGCCGAAAACATCGTTAACAGAGAGGTTACGTAACTGACGAAGGAATGAATTCTAATCTTTTAAATAGTAACGTAAGAAAAGTAATTAGCTGTACTCATTATCAGGTTGATTCTTTCAGTTTCGCTCTGATCGGAATTTAATATCAATATTAACATACTATAACTTCTCTTTATATCTTATACTTTACATTTATCTAGAGGACAAATATTTAATTGATACGATTTTATTAAAATGATTGTATAATTAAGATTTGTATTGATAATAACAATAGTAATTTGACACGTTATCAAAAGGCTGCGTTAAGATTATTTTTATTCCCTCTATACGGTATTTTTGTTGTTAATGCGAGATTAACACTGTATAATTAGCATTTTTGCTTCGCCTTTTCTTTGTAATCAATGTCTTCTACTTAGATTAAAGTAACTTGTGAAATCCTTATATTCAGTTGTTCAACATACCTTCCTTTGTTTCAAGCTAGTTTCTTCTTTATTGTTGTTTTTAAAGGGGAGCTTTTAATCCTGATAAATGGAGCTATTATCCTGATAAATGTGGTTTATCTCCCAGTTCAGCTCAGAAGGAGCATTTAACTAGTTAATATCAGGATAGTGTATTATTATTGGCACTCACGTACGCATGTGATGTATTTATCTCATACTTACCACCACAAGGCGCTTTGTAGTTAATAGGAAAAATTGGAGCGTGTTGATATATCGATGGAACTGTTTTTGTTGCCACAGTCACGAAAGAATTAAAGTAGCAGAAATTCTTAGCACTGATATTTGTTTTAAGAAATCCTTATAACGCTGACTAATACCATAATAAGTCAGTGTGTAAAAAAAGAAATTGTAAGCACTTTTTTTTACAGTTTTTATTGTCCCAGTACTGATGAAAAATAACACAAAAAAGTAAAATGTTATCAAAAACATTTAAACACGGGAATGACATCCACAAACATACGCAAAGTGAAATCGTTATATTCTGCCAAGACATTTGGCACATTGCAGCTATACAGCTGTTCTCTTGTTTTAATTGTAAGCTAACTTCGA